AAAAAAAAAAAAAAAAAAAGGATGCACCCTGTCATTTAACCCTAAGAACTGGAGATGAGGAAGCTAGAACTTGAAGCGGCTACGTGCCCAGCCGGAAGCCTACAGCCGGTCAGTGACTGCGGAGGGGCCACGGATGGAGGCGGGAGTGACTCCTGGCGCATGCTCATAACCAGGACTACCTGCCCCCCGCCCCCCAAGCTTTCCAAAGAAGACGTGAAATAGTTAATCCACAGTATCCCTTCCTACCTTTGGCGCCCCCGTCCCGTGGCGGGGCTCACTGTTCACCTGTGTGCTCCTCACTCCCACCCTCTGGCCCCTGGCTACTCCACCCCCATCCCTAGCCAGTCAAGGGCATCAGGGCCTCTCTCCTCTTCCCACCCAAAGAACCGGTGGTCAGTTGTCCTGGCCTCTGGGACCCGACCTCCACCTAGCCTGGTTTGAGCCTGGACGGAACCTCCGGGGAGCGCTAACGACCCAGGCGGGTGGGGTGCGGGGACGTCAGAGAACACGCGGCCCAGCGGCCGCAGAACCTAGGGGCGCACGTGAGCGCGGCCGCAGGTGCCCACGCGGTGCCCTACGGGGCGCAAGGGCATCCACCCAGCGCGCATGCTCCGTGGCCCGAGTCTCGGCTCCGCCCCTCAACCGGGGGCGAAGCTCCAAGCTCATGGTCTCCCTCTTGCAAGCCGCTTGCGTGGGTAAGGCAGGCGGCACTGCCGGTGTTTGGGTACCCCTGAACCTGCCCGGAATCCACCCTACCCACTCCTCCAGCGCCTCATGAGGCCCAGTCACGCTGCCCTCTAACATTTGCCACCTGCGGCCTTTGACCATGCTGTTCCCTGCGAGCCCTGCCTTGCCTTTCCACCCCCAGTCTGGATTTCATGCTTGCTCCTTTCGGAGATGGGAGAGCAAAGAGAACACTTGGCCTCCCGGCAGATGACCTGTGACCCACCTGGGTGCCTCAGCTGTGTGTCTTAGGCAAGGTCAAGTCTCTGACCCTCGGGCTTCTCATCTGCAAAATGGGTGTGGTAACACCTCCTCTACTCTCTCATAGGTTTGAAGTGAGAACTTAATAAATGCCATAGAGCTTCAAGTCTAAAGCAATTCTTAAAGGAGAGGGTATTTATTACTTCCTGAGTCAGTGTGTCTAACATCTCCTCCTAAACCTAGTGGATTGAATCTTTTGTTATTTAGATCATGATGCTCTTTTAACTCAAATAATGCTTTATGCCTTAAAGGCAAGTTGGTCTGCTACTGATTTAGCTACACCAGCTCTCTTTGATCATCATTTGCCTGGTTTAACTTAAAAAATGATTTTAAATTATTTTTTTAAATGTTTATTTTTGAGGGACAGAGAGAGCGTGAACAGGGGACGGGCAGAGAGAGAGGGAGGAGAGAGAGAGGGAGACACAGAATCCAAAGGAGGCTCCAGGCTCTGAGCTGTCAGCACAGAGCCCTACACGGGACTTGAACCCAGGAATTGAGAGATCATGACCTGAGCCAAAGTCGGACACTTAACCAACTGAAGCACCCAGGCACCCCTAAAGTTTTGTTTTGTTTTGTTTTTAAAGATCTATATTTAAGTAATCTCTTCACCCGTCATGGGGCTTGAACTCAACCCTGAGATCAAGAGTCCTGTGCTCTGGGGCTCCTGTGTGGCTCAGTCGGTTAGGTGTGGGACTTCGGCTCAGGTCATGATCTCGCGGTTTGTGGGTTCGAGCCCCGCACCGGGCTCTGTGCTGACAGCTCAGAGCCTGGAGCCTGCTTCAGATTCTGTGTCTCTCCCCCTCTTTCTGCCCCTGCCCCACTCATGCTCTATCTCTCTCTGTCTCTCAAAAATAAATAAATGTTAAAGAGTCCTGCGCTCTACAGACTGAGCCAGCCAGGCACCCTTGGCTGGTTTCACTTTTTTCATTCTTGTACTTTCAGCTTTCCTGTGTCCATATAGTTTAGCTGTGTCTTTTATAAATATAACAGAGCTGGAAGTTTCCCGAAAATCATTTACAAAGGTATGATCATGACGTGTGTATATGAAAACATTTATTTTTGTGTTAGCTAATGGTCAAACTTCATATTTCTTCTCCTTTCTTGCCTTTTTAAAAGTTGCTCAAACAGCAGCAACAAAAGAGTTGATCAAGGCTTTCTGTTTCTTCCTTTTTCCCCCTTCAACAGTGTCTTGGAAATTACACATTCTATTTCTAGTCTTTCAGTGGTTATCCAAGACATTAATTTCACAAAGCCTAAAGTTAATCCAGTGTTTACTCTCCTTCCAGACAGAAAAAGTCTTTATTACACTTTGTGCTTGCTCAGCAACTCCTGAAACATACCTGAAAAAACAATATATTTTTTTTTAACACTAAACCACATTTACTGTTTCCTTTGTGTAAGTCAGATATTCCTCATGGAAAAATGTCCTTCTTTCACAAGAAGGTTCTTTATACGTTTCTGTATCAAAGGTCTGTTAGTGATAAACCTTATTGTCATTTCTCTGAATACGCCTTTATTTTCCTCATTCCTGAAAGATAACTCATACTTCACAATTTCAGGTTTACCTTATTTTTCACATCACTTTGGAAATATTCTCCTGTGTTGTTGTTGAGATATCAATGCCAGTGTAAGTGTCATTTCTTTTAGAACATATTTTCTACCTGGTTGCTTTTGGGATTTTATTTTTTAATTAAAAACAATTGTTTTTTTCTTTTTTAAAAAAATTTTTAAATGTTTTATTTATTTCTGAGAGACAGCGTGAGCAGGGGAGGGTCAGAGAGAGAGGGAGACACAGAATCTGAAACAGCCTCCAGGCTCTGAACTGACTGTCAGCACAGAGCCCGACGTGGGGCTTGAACCCACAAACCGTGAGATCATGACCTGAGCCAAAGTTATATGCTTAACCAACTGAGCCACCCAGGTGCCCCCAAAAACAATTTTTTAGGGGCACCTGGTGGCTCAGTCAGTTAAGCGTTCAACTTCGCTCAGGTCATGACCTCATGATCTGTGAATTCGAGCCCGGCATTGGGCTCTGCACTGATTGCTTAGAGCCTGGAGCCTGCTTCAGATTCTGTGTGTGTGTCTCTCTCTGCCCCTTCCCTGCCTGTGCGCACCCCCTCTTTCTTTCTTTCTTTCTCTCAAAAATAAACAATTTAAAAAGAATTTTTAAAAAGTAATCTCTACTTCCAACATGGGGCTTGAACTCACAACCTTGAGGTCAGGAGTGGCAGGCTCTACTGACTGAGCCAGCCAGGTGCTCTGTTTTTGGGATCTTAATGTTCATCTTTGGTGTATATTTTTATGAAGCACTTACTGGGTGCTGAGCTGTTCCAGGGGCCAAAGATTAAGCAACGATGAGCAAAGCTTTAATAAGATGACTATAAATGTGGATTTCTTCTCTTTTGGGATTGTCTGGCTTTCTGAATCTGAGGCTTGGTATCTTTCCACTTTGGAAAATTCTCTGCTGTAATTCCTTTGAATGTTGCCTCCTTCCCAGGGACTCCTTCAGAACTCTGATACAGAAGAGATGAGAAGACTGGCCCTTCTCATTCTATCCCTTGTTTCTTAACCTCTCTTATTTTGTGCTTTTTGCTACATTCTGACTAATTCCTTCAAATATATCTTCAAGGCTACTGATTCTCTCTTCTGCTGTATCTATTCTATGAACTGGGTCATTCATATCCATTGAGTTTCTAAATGTTCATTTGTAGAAGTTCTATTTATTTCCTTTTAAATTCTGCCCGGCACCCCAGTGTTCACATTGTCATATTCCGGCCCTAAAGTCAACAAGTCTCCATGTGCCCTTGACCAAGTCTTCTCTTTGTGGGCCTGTGTCCCCAGCTGTGAAATAAGCTGGAGGTAGGAGATAATTTTCCATATTGTGCCCTGGGGGCCCTGCCTCAGAGCGGTGGAGGCGGTGGTGGTGCTGGTGTGCTCGGTCAGACTGGCCATGTCCTATTCCCTGGGTTTTTTCAAGTTTTATTTTTATTTTTGAGAGAGAGCGAGAGTGGGGGAGAGGAAGAGAGAGAGGATCCCAAGCAACCTCCACACTCAGGGCAGAGCCTAATGCAGGGCTCAATCCCACAACCTTGAGATTGTGACCTGAGCTGAAATCAAGAGCCAGATGCCTAACCGACTGAGCCACCCAGGTGTCCCTGGGTAAGATTTCTTTTGAACAAAGGATTTGAAATTTTAAGAAACTTCTTAAACCGCTAGGCTATGGGAGCGTTAAGCTCCCTTCAAGTTCAAGTCTGTGGTTCTGAGTTTAGCTCTTGGATATGATAATGTTTTATAATAACGTGTTGGCTCTGTCCATAGTCACTAGACTAATAGGTATGAATGTAAGTCCTCAACTACCTGAAGAACTGGACCCTCAGGTCTGCTGCTGCCAGTGAGGAAAACCTGTTTTTTGCTTCCTGACTAGTTTTTCAAAACTTGTAGAAAGCACTCAATAAACATTTAGAGGACTAATAATAAATGAATAAGCAAATGGGTGGTCAGACAGACTGGTGATGGGGCTCAGTATTTGCCGCCCCCAAAACATGGCACCTGAGCATCTTAACCTGAGCATTTGGAAAAACGACAGAAACAGGAAAGTCACTCTGACCCCATCCCCTGTCGTTTCCTGAAACAGGTTCTAAATCTCATACCGGGAGGAGAGAAGACATTCTTATCACCAGAAACAGGAAATGTATGACCAAGAAACCTGTATAAACCAACCTTGTTCAATGAACCCTTGAAGAAGTATCTTCCTGGATACTTCACCATTCACTACCCCAGCCCAACCCCTTTGTCCTGTCAGTTCTTCGCACATTTGCTTCTTTTAGTTTTTAAAAGTGTATATTTATTTTTGAGGTGGGAGAGGGGCAGAGAGAAAAGGAGACAGAGGATCCAAAGCAGGCTCTGTGTTGGATACCCCCACTACCCACCCACCGATGTGAGGCTCGAACTCACGAACCTCGAGATCATGACCTGAGCCGAGGCCACTCAACCGAGCCACCCAGGCGCCCCGCTCACACATTTATTTCTGTGTGTGAAACGTGTAAAAGCATCCTGCTCTCGTCACTTCTTCAGGCCTTCCTTATCTTGTGAAGGTTCTCACAGACGCGTAAATGTTCTATAAAATGGACACGCTTTTCTCCGGTTAATCTTGTCAGTTCACTTCTCAGACCCAGCCAGTGACCCTACGAGGGTTGAGGGAAACTCTTTCCTCACGTACACCGGTCACTCCCTCCCTTTCTCTGAATAGTTAACCTGGTAACACACGTAATGATGTGACACATTTTCAGACCTCACTAATCCCTGAGTCAGGCACTGTTATTACCCAACTTTTCAGATGAGGAAACCGAGTCACCATGAGGTTAGGAGACAGCCAGTCACGGGGTGCAGTAGGGATTGGACCAAGGCTTGCTGGCTCTAGGGCTGTTTGGGAGGGAGGCTGGGAGAGTTGGAACTTGCAGGCTGTTCGGGAGACTCGTCAGATGGGCCTAAGGCAGGGGCCCCTGCACGTATGGCGGTCTCTGGTCTAGTTTTGGCCAATAGGAGAGGACCGTGATTTCACCAGGGACAAGGAGGGCTTGTCTCTGGCTCCCTCATCTGGAAGGTTCAGCTTTGGGTAAACAAGAAATACCAGGATTTGGGGACTAGACAAGCAGCTTCAGCCCTCACCGGCTGGAGACCAGAGGCAGAAGGAATCTGCTTCCTGGGATGGACAGTTTCCAGAACGGCAGACACTAGAGACTAAAATACAGAGTATTTCCAAGTCTCCACAGAAGGCCGTCTTCTTGAAAGAACACGGTGGTGAGAAGATCTGGTTGGAAGCCCCATTTCCTCAGTGTGGCCTGTCTGGCCTTTCCCCGAACCTGACCTTCCTGCCACCCCCCTTCCCAGTCAGTGGCAGCTCTAGCCCCAAGCTGCTCAGGCCCCAAACCGTGCAATCGTGGACTCTGCTTTCTCTCTTCCGTCCGGTGAATCCCGCTGCTCTGCCTTCAAAACATACCCCTGAGCTGCCCTGTGGGGAAAGGCAGTCTCTTGCATGCTCTCTTTTTTATTTTAGTTTTTTTTTTATGTTTATTTTACTTTTGAGAGAGAGAGAGAAAGGGAGACATAGATTCGGAAGCAGGTTCCAGGCTCCGAGCTGTCAGCACAGAGTCCGACGCGGGACTTGAACCCACGAACCACGAGACCATGACCTGAGCTGAGGTCCGGCGCTCAGCTGACTCCACCCGGGCGCCCCCTGCATGCTCTTTCGACCCCATGTGCCCGATTAACAGTGGGCCTTGAGGCTAGAACACTTCCTTACCAAGAAATAAAGAGCCCATGCAGCCTGTGCTGACCTTGTCACCAAATGTGGGGATATCTCTCCCTCTTTCAGGCCCAAGGTTTGCACTTTTGTTCTGCTTAAGCATGTGTGCCGTACGGCACCCGGCCAAGTCCACTGCTACATCTGACCTCTCAGGGAGGGGAGCGTCCTGCCACCATGGCAGGGGGGGCGGGGAGGGTGAGCCACTTGTCCCGCGTTGGTTACTGGCAGAGGCCCACTGGCCACGGGGGACTGAGACCCACCACCCAGGCTGATCTTGCTGCCTCTTCCCGGCATGAGTGAAGCGTGCTCCGTGCACCGCTAGACGGCGTCGCTTTGTGTGGTGCCTCTGATCACAGGATGCAGCGGCCAGAGCGGTCCGGTGTCCTCCCCCGGAACTGATAACTGGTGCGTGGTGGGCTGCTCAGCGTGGCCACTTGTCACCATCCCCACCACTACCTCCCAGTCCAAGCCACCAACGTTGTCCTTTTAGAGTGTTAAGTCAGATTGTGTCCCGTTCTGCCCAAAGCCCTCCAGCGGCCTCCGTCTCACTCAGAAAAAGCCAAAGTCCAGGGCGCCTGGGTGGCTCAGTCAGTTAAGTGTCCGACTTCGGCTCAGTTCATAAACTCGCGGTTTGTGGGTTCGAGCCCCGCATCGGGCTCTGTGCTGACAGCTCAGAGCCTGGAACCTGCTTCAGATTCTGTCTCCCTCTCTCCCTGCCCACCCCCCCGCTTCTCTCTCAAAAATAAACATAAAAAAAAAAAAAAAAGCTGAAGTCCTTAAAATGACCTACTAACCCTTTGCCAGCTGCTCCCTGCTGCCTTTCTGACATCATTCCTTCATCCGTCCCTTGGCTCCAGCCCCTTGGCCTCCTGACCGTGTCCAGAAAGGCCGGGCAGGCACACACCTACTCAAGCCTTCCTATGAGCTGTTCCCCTCCTGCACCTCCTGCCAAATGCAATCTCCTGGCGCTTGAGCGTTTTTTTCTTTCTGATTCTGGTGTCCCCAGCCTCTAGAAGACTCCCAGTCCCCATAGGCTCCTGTTGAACGGATGTTAGAATATCAGTTTTGAGACATGCTGCGTGGAAAGGCAGCACCTGCTGGTGGCCCTCACTGCCTCTGGACCTCTGATGGCTCCCCTCTTGCAGGATGTTCCTCCGGCTCCTGGGGCCACTTGGCCCGCATGGTCAGGAATCGAGTAGCCTGGAAGTTTAAGTCCCTGTCCCCCACCCTCAGAGCAGCCCTTGGTTTGCACCCTCGCTTTGCACCAAGTCACACACTGCATTCAGGGTCCACTTGTGGGGACCCCCACCTAAGAGAGGAGCCTTCCTCTGCCCCCTGTAAAGATCCGCTCAGACTTGAGGGGCCTCTGAATATACTATCCCCTCTGCCTGACACAGGCTCTCTCAGCTGTCCCCCTCACCCCCACTGCATCCGCCTCACCTTTTCATTCCCTTCGGAAACCTGACCTATTTGCAACATACACAACGGAGCATGCCCAGTGCAAGCCAGCCATGTGCCAGGAACGGGGAGAAACAGGAGAATTGGAACTTGGGTTTTAGTCCCAATCCTCGAAGGCCACGCCCCTCTCCAACCTAAGGCTGCCTCAACCATGAACTTGAGGGGTGCTTCCTTTTAGTCTACGCTTTATATTTCACCACATGTACCCTCATGAACAACATACAGTGTTGCTTGGAGGTTTTTAAATGCATGCTAACACTTTCACATTGCACACGCCGTCTGCAATCTGTTTTGCTCACAACGGGGCGACCAAGGTCCATAGAAATAGGTCCGGGGCACCTGGGTGGCTCAGTTGGTTGAACGTCCGACTCTTTTTTTTTAAACAATCTTTTAATATTTATTTATGAGAGAGAGATTGTGAGTAGGGGAGGGGCAGAGAGAGGGAGACACAGAATCCAAAGCAGCATCCGACTCTTGATTTTGGCTCAGGTCATGATCTTGCAGTTTGTGAGACTGAGACCCATGATGGGCTCTGCACTGACAGCAAGGAGCCTGCTTGTGATTCTCTCTCTCTGCCCCTCCCCCGCTTGCACTCTCACAAAACACATAAACTTAAAAAGAAAAAAAGAAATATTTATTCATTCGAACTGCTGAACCATATCCAGAGAATGAATGTACCCTGGATTATCGATCTGTCCCCTTCTGACAGTGAAGCTATTCCCAGTTTTCCTATGGCTGCAGCCGCTCACCGTCCCTTGGTCCAGAGCACAAGCTCATTCCCAGTGGGAATGTTCCCTTCGGGGGGCTCTTGCCTCCTGACAGCGGACCCCTAACGTCTGTTTCCTGCGAGCAGGCACCAGGTTCAGCCCTGCAGCCCCAGGCCCTTGCTTAGCAGCAGCAGGCACTGAGCCCCTCTGGACAGATGGACACAGGAGGATGGTGGGGTTGTGCACTAGGCCTTGATCTCTTGGTGTCGGCGACAAGCCAGGATAGCCCAGGGAGGCTCAGGCACGTGAGGCCCAGAAATCGCCACTCAGTCCAGTCAGAGTGGAGTGGGACCCTGGCCACGGGGCGCTTGGGGCTTCTGGACACGTGTTGGTCCCGGTCAGCCCTGACACCAAAAGACGGGGGTCTGCCGGGGAGATGTCACCCTTCGCGTACTGACCCAACATCGTCACAGGTTCACAGCAACCCACCAATGCGCCATCACTCGGGAGCTTTCCAAGGGCCAGGCACTGCTTCTCTGTAGCATCACCCTCCGGGCGGCCACTCACCCTTTTCCAGAAGACGCTGAGGTCAGAGACGTTAAGTTGCCCAAAGGCGCACAGCCAGGAAGTGGCAGAGAGGGATTCAAACCGATACCCGAGTCATCTGATTCAGAGACACGGATGCCCGTCTGCCACACCGAAAAGGGCCCTCCTCCGCCCGGGCCTCGGCTAGGCCAAAGCTGGGTGCACAGCAGGCCTGGCTGGTCGTGAGCCCAGGCTTGCTGCTGCCACAGCAGAACGGGCAGCTAAGCCCCGGTTCCCAGGGGATTCAAAGGACACATCTTCTCAGGAATGACAGGTCCGGGACCCAGCCTGGCTGGGAGATTAAACGTGGCTCGAAACACATCCAGCTACAGATTCCCCAAACTTTAATGCCACGGCTCCGGGAAGGGCAGCTGGAGGCTGGGGAGGGTCTTGGGTGCTGCCCACGCCTCCTGCCTCCGGCCCCAAGGTCCCCAAGCACCGAGTTACCAGGCAGTGAGCAGTGTAGGGACCTCACTCCCACGCCGCACCGCTCCCGGGGCTGAGGGCTGAGCACGACCCACAGCTCTAGGAGCTTCTGACGGTGGGATGAACAAACTGTGGGCCAGGCCTGGCTCAGGCGTGGCTTGGCCTGGGGCTGCACGAGCCGGTGAGGAAAGAGACCGCGGTTCCCAGCCTTGGGGAGAGGAGGCCTCAGGGAGTCTGGGACGGGTATGCATGGGGCTCCTGGGCACTCAGGGCGCCTGATTCAGGCAACCCCTACGATGAGGAACAGGAGAACACAGTTCGGGGGGAGGGGGGTCAGAAACGTCTCTAGAACACCATCCAAGGCACAAGGAAGGTGGTGCAGGCCGAGCCGCCTCCGCAGTCTGTTACACTGGGCCCCCCCAGGCTTTAGTACCCTTGCGGGCCGTGACCCCTGCCCTCCAAGCCTCCAAAAGGGTCTGCGGGCGCCTCTGGTGAGTCAATCGTCTGGTAGTCGCTGCGCTCCTGTGATGGTCCAAGGAAACCTAGGGGTGGGGGGACATGGAGGGGGGCGATGAAGGGTGAGGACTTGAGACATTCTACTGAGTCCAAACCAAGACGCACCCACACCCACCAGGAAGGGTGATGGTGGCAGCACTGCCCCCCAAGCTTTCAGCACGTGTGCAGCCAATCCTCCCATAACCCCACACAGCAGGCATTTTGTTGCCTCCATTTTACAGATGGGGCAACTGGGGGTCAGAGGGATGAGGTGACGTGCCCACAAGCAGGGAGCTTGAAGCTGGGGACACTGAGAGTCAAGCCAAGGCAGCATGAGCCCAAAGCCACCACTCTGGGCCACTGCGCTCTGCCCTTTCCCGAGCAGTGCGCGCTTAGCAACCTGAGCAGAGGGTGCCCGGCCCTGGGCCCACAGGCTCCTCTCCGAGGCACAGCGGACACCGTGTTACTGTATCCAGAGGCCCAGGGCTGGCAGAGCCGTAGAGCCCAGAGCGCTGGGCTGGGGGTGCTGGTAGGTGACAGGGCTCTAGGTGCCCATGGCCTCACTCCCATCCCTGCCCTGCACATTTGTCCCCTGATCCGGAGCAAATCCCGAGGATGGTGGGCGTGCCAGCTCCCTCTTCTGTCCAATGGAAGGAATGTTATTGGCTTCCCCCAACCCTCTCCCAACCCTCCCCCCCCCGCAGTGCTAAGGTCAGCCAGGGGGAGGCCAAAGGCCCCTGGGCGGGTCAGGGGTCCCTCTGGGCCTTTCTTCTTAGGAGAAAACAGTACAAGATCACCCCTCACCCTCTCCCCACCTGTCTGAGAGAGAGAAAGGAGATGAGATGCTGGAGAGAACAGGAAAATGGCCCGGCCACTGTGAGAAGGGGTACAGCTCAAAGACGGTGTTGCAGGGGCAGCGGTGGCCCAGGCGGGGGTGACAGCCATGTCGGCAGGGACAGCACCCATGGCTCAGCCGAGGCTCCCACGGCCCACGCCATCAGTGCCTTCTCCCTTGGCCACCCACACCCCACACGGGAGGAGGGGGGGCTCTAGGGGTGGGGCTGGGTAGCTGCCACCGCCCAGAGCTGCCTCGGAACGGGGGCGCACCCAGCTGCATCTGTGCTGGGGCTAAGAGGGGGGTCTGGTCGCCGCCCCCACTCTGCCCGCAGCCGGACGCCGGGGAAAGCTCCCAGCAGGCTGGGATGGGAGCACTGGGCTCCTGCAGCGGAAATCGGAGCTCGTATACCTTCTAGCCTGGGGGTCGGTGTCCACGCCACACCCCTCCCTGCACCTCAAGCCTTTGGCCCCAGGGCCAGGTCGGCTCCCGCGGGCAGGGGCTGTGGGTCAGGCTAGGCAGGGTCCAAGGACACGGGACGGCCCTGCTGGCACCTGGGCCGGGCAGGTGACGGTGAGGGAGCAGGCCGCAGGCAGTGGCCTCACCAATATGGAGCAGGAGCTCACCCCCGCGCTGCCGGTACATGTGGTAGACGAAGCAGCAGGACAGCGGCTTGAGGAGCAGGCTGAGGATGGCCATGCCGGCACCGAAGCGCTCCGTGTCCGAGAAGCCAGTCCGCTGGTAGAAGATGCTGATGTGGACGATGTCCAGGAAGATGGTGGCCACCAAGCCACCCAGAAACTGCAAGACAGGTCAGGCGCAGGGCCCGTGGTGACCACGTGCCACCAGGGTTTATGAGAACACTGACACCATATCATGCCCTTATGTCCCCCCCCCCCCCCACCATACACCAGCCCAGAGCTCTGTCTGTGCCCTTCTGTGTCCTTAGGCTTTGCTAGAAAACACTTCAGCAAGCAGGCAGACCCTGTGGATGAGATGCCTGACCGAGGACTGCAGCACCGGGCGTGGGGACATGGGGACCCAGTCTGGACCTAGCTGTGGCTCCACCAGAGCCCCAACCCCCACCTGTTACCCTTGAGGCCATGATGGGGCACAAGGCTTGGCTCCAGACCTCCGAGACGGAAGGAGTTCACCCAATCTGTCCCAGGTGCCAGAGCGCTCACCGCCCCTTGGGGCGTCGTGGGTGTCCGGAAGCTCCCCATGACAGAGTTCAGCAGGGCTGTGTCCACTCTGACCTCACGAAGTAGAAGAGCTCCCCTCTGCATGGGTCTCCCAGCCACAGCCCCAGGGGGACCCTACCCGTGCCTGTCTCAGGGAAAGCAGTGAGCAGACTCGGGGCTCTCTGGGCCAGGCAGACCGACATAGGCCAGGCTAGTGAAGACACACGCGGGCTGGTAGCCTGGGCGGGCTTATTCACAAAACTTTAGAAAATGGAGGGGGCACCTGGGTGGCTCAGTCGGTTAAGCATCTGACCAGCTCAGGTCATGAGCTCGCGGTCTGGGAGATCGAGCCCTGAGTTAGGCTCTGTGCTGACAGCTCAGAGCCTGGAGCCTGTTTCAGATTCTGTATCTCCCTCTCTCTGCCCCTCTCCAGCTCATGCTGTCTCTCTTGCTCTCAAAAATAAATAAAACTTAAAAATAAGTTAAAAAAAGAAAAGAAAATGGAAAATGAGGGCACAAGGAAGAAAGAGCCAGGACCACCCTGAAGCCCCACCCCATAACCAGTCTTCTCCTCGATGCTTCCCCCTCCCCCCCCCCCACCTTACCAGACTTATGGCATCGATGGAGTCCCGCTGAGCAACGGCCCACACGCCCAAGGCCAGGATGGTGAAGTTGGCCCAGGGATAGGGGCCCCCGAATGCTATGCAGCCCCTGCGGGAAGAAGCACCGGAGTCACATGAGGTGACTGCCCCGTAGGTGCCCGCCCCTTCCCGCTCCCAGGCCTCAGGGCCCTCTGATGAGAGGCTACTGTCTCCCAGGCCACAGGGCCTCCCCAGCTGTGCACAAACAAATCCCCTTGGCTTTACATCCTGAACGGATCCTGAATCCGGCCACGTCCCTCCAACTCCAAAACACCACCCTCTCCTGCCGGGATTTATCTCTGTGGCCTCTGCCCACTGTTCTTTTAATTCCATTCCTGCCCTTCCAGGGGTAACGATGTTGCTCTTCTGCTAAGAATTCTCCAACAGTTTCACGCCCCACTTGCAGTAAAATACAGACTCTTCCCACGGCCAAAGGAGGCCTGTGGGATCCAGCCCATGACAGACTCCCTTACAGCCAAGCCAGTGCTGTGCCCTCTACCCTGAAATTGGCCCTGTTGTGTTACTTTAGTCTCAGCCCAATCATTACCTCTGAATTCTTTCCCCGACCGCCTAATTTTAATACCACGTTGTCACTTTCTAACGCAATGCCTGCCCTATCTTATGTTCTGGGCTTTTGTTATCAACTACCAACGAATGTGTTCACTTGATGAAACTATGTTAGGATTAGTCCCTGCTAGTGACTGGCATAGTTCTAGATGCTTTAAATGAACTCATTTATGTGCATTCATGTTCACAATTCTAGAAAGGAAGCACAAATCATTATCCTCATTTTAAAGATGAGGGAAGTGAGGCACAGAGAGAGCAAGTTACGTGCCCAAGGCCACACAGCTTCTAAGTGGTGGAGCCAGGATTTGAACTCAGACAGCGTGGCCCCAGAGGCCGTGCTCTTACCAGCCGGATTCACCTGGCTTCGGCTGCCCCAGCACACAGTGGGGTGCTTCATAAACGTCAACGACACCCAGGTGTACCATACAGCAAACACGTGCAAACCAGCTAAGTGTAGAGTGTGGCTAGGCTTGACAGTCTTTGAATAGATGACCCGATTTTTTGATTTTAAGAAGCTAGGGCTGGGGCCCCTGCCCAGACCGACCAACTCCGAATCTTAGGGAGTGGGACTGAGAAAGCTGTATTTTGACCTTGCTTTCCAAAGTCTTTAACCATGACTTTCACTGTTTGCATTATTCACCACCATTTACGCGGGCAGTGTACCTTGAAGTCTGCAAACTATACACAGACACTCAACCGTTTCCAGCCCTGGTTTGGCAGAGAACAACACCCCCCCCCCCCCCAGCTCAACGGTCTATTTCATCAAACGGTAATAATGGAAATCAACCTTGCAATCCTCAAGCCTCCCTTTGTGGTCCCAGGGAGTGTGGGATGAGCACTGCCACGCCTCTCCCTACAGCTCCTGAGGAGTGTGCCGTCGTATACCCATTTTACAGATGGAAACCAAAGCCCCAAGAGGTGGGCCACTTGCCTAAGGTAAACTGGCTGGACCACGGCTGAGCCAGCACCTGCCCAGGTCCCTCTAAATCCAGAGTCTGCCGTCTCTGGGCAGGAGTATGATAGAAGGGTCCACCCCTAAGCAAGTGACCACCCTGTGTCTCAGCTCATAGAATATCTATCTACTTGCTGAGCCACTGGGCTGACCCACAGGAGGTGCTCAGCCCAGCGGCTGGCCCCTAGATAACCTCAATAAATGTTAGCGGTTATTCTCATTTCTAAAGTCGTGCTTTCACCTTCTGGTGACCTTACCAGGTAAGGAGAGGAGTAAGTAATACTGTCATTTTGCAGGTGAGAAAATGACTCAGGGAATCTAAGTTTCCTCTGGAAACTGCCTGTCCCTCACACTTTCTTGGGACATGGGGAGCTGGCCGAGGACGTTCTGGACAGAAGTGCTATTTGGTTTTGGAACTGGCCAGGAGACACACGGATGAGACCCAGGGGACACACGGACAAGACCCTGGTGATATGTGCACCCAGATCCCAGGAGACGGGGGGACACAGAGCCAGGAGCCCTGTTGGGTCACTCACCAGGTCGTCAGCAGCCAGTGAACCAGGAGGATCATCTGCAGCACAAAACAGGGAAGAGGGAAAGAAAAGATCTATGAATGTGACCGCCATATGGCGGGGGCGGGGGTGTGGGCGTGAGGGGGTTGCTTTTGTGGCCAGAAAACACAGGAAGCCCCTGTCTGGCACCTAAGAGGGCTTCACAAATATCTGTGGATAAAAAACACGAGCAACATGAATGAGCCGGGGTGAAGAAGGAAGAGGGGAGGCCACCCTACTCCCTGGGGGCAGCAGGAATGGGAAAGCACTAGGCGGCAAGGAACGTGCATTTCATCCTAAGCGCACGGAGGGAAGCCACCAAAGGCTTTTCTGCGAGGCAGTTAAAAAAATCCCTCTGGGGGCACCTGGGTGGCTCAGTCAGTTAAGCGTCCGACTTTGGCTCAGGTCACGATCTCGTGGTCCATGAGTTAGAGCCCCACATTGGGCTCTGTGCTGACAGCTCAGAGCCTGGAGCCTGCTTCAGATTCTGTGTGTTCCTCTCTCTGCCCCTCTCCCACTCACACTCTCTCTGTCTCTCAAAAATAAATTAAAAAAAAAAATCCCTCTGTTTTTTTTCTAGATTTCTCCACTATTCCACCCTTCTTATTGCCGCATAGGTCCTTAAAATCACAGCCCCCTTTACTGGAACTGGCATCTACTCCAGGTAACCAAAAGGGCCCTGCTTGGAAAGCAGATGGAGGAGGAGGGAGCAGATGCTTTGGGGAGGCAGGGCGGCTATGAGCTGGAGCTTCCTGGAGCTTCCGAAGGAGGAGGGCTGAGGGGTGAGCAGGGACCCGCAGGGGGCAAAGGGGAGGAGAGAAAGGTGTTCTGAGCCAAAAGGAATAGGGAGGCAGAAGGGGGAGGAGGGAGTGGCACTGAACCTGTGGGGGGGGACAGGAGCCTCAAATCAGCTTCAGTGGGGTCCCAGAAGTGGGTGGGGGACCCTGAAGGAGTCACTTAAGGTCATTGGCAGGGGTCAAACTGGGAGGGGGGATGCCAAGTGCATGGGGAGGGGACAGCAAGGGCAGAAGTGGGGGTGGCCGCCTGCAAGAAAGAACCCTGGCTGGGGAGGGAGAAGCCCTTCGAGAAGAGCTACCATTTACCGTGCACGTACTCTGTGCCAAAAGCCTTACACGACCTTCTTGGGGCCTCACAACAGCCTCTGGAACAGACACTAAGTTCATTCCCATTTTGGGGTGCCTGGCTAGCTTCGCTGGGGAAACAGACGACTCTTGGTCTCGGGGTCATGAATTCAAGCCCTATACTGGGTGTAGAGATTCCTTAAAAAAATCAAATCTTTTGGGGCGCCTGGGTGGCTCAGTCCATTAAGCATCCGACTTCGGCTCAGGTCATGATCTCGCGGTTCATGAGTTCGAGCCCCACATCGGGCTCTGTGCTGACAGCTCAGAGCCTGGAGCCTGCTTCGGGTTCTGTGTCTCCCTCTCTCTCTGCCCCTCCCCTGCTTCTACTATGTGTCTCTCTCCCTCTCAAAAATAAATAAACATTAAAAAAATAACTTAAAAAATAAATAAAATCTTTTTTTAAAAAAGATCATTCCCATTTCACAGATGGGAAAAACTAGGCTTCGAGGAAAATTAAGTCATCTGGATTCCATAGATGGCAAGAGGTAAAACTAGAGTTCAATTTTAAGTCTGCCTCTGGCGTGCCCAACTTTGCAGCGGGGACCCGGGCATTCAGTGGAGAGGAGGCATTTGAACTTTCGACAAACGTGGACACTTTCTGCACATGGTAGAGGTGAAATCCGGAGCAGATGGCTGGGATGTTCTGCCTTCACCCCTAGCGCCCAGCATGAGTGAACGAAAAAAGCTCTGGCGCCACAGCCTAGAGCAGCTCAACAGACTCGGAGAACAGTTCTGTAAGGACCAATGCTCCTGGCTTCGTGGCGGTGCCAAGACTCTGAGAAGGCCAAGTCCATACACTATGGAAGGCTGGTGCTAGAAGGAATCTTTGCAAGGTGCCTGATCTGACTCTTGGTCTCAGGGTCGTGAGTTCGAGCCCCACACTGGGCGTATAAATTACTTAAATAAAAACTTAAGAAAAAAAAGGAATCTTCGCAATCAGCTACCTTTGTTTACTACTGAGCGCTTCCTACATGTTGGACCCCATACTAAGTACTTTCTGTACATGAATGTACTTGATCCTTACAGTCTGCAGAGGTGCCATTTATAAGTGAGAAAACTGAGGCTCAAAGGTAAGTCAGTGGCAGAGCCACTCAGTGGATTCAAACCTGATCATTAGCCCCATGTCACCTGACTGCCAGGGCCTGGGCGGAATGTGCTCTTCCCTTTACAAAGATGGGGAAACTGAGGCAGAGAAGTCTTAGTCTGCCATGGGTTTTTCTTTCTTTCTTTTTTTTTTTAATAATGTTTATTTTTGAGAGACAGAGAAACAGATTGTGAACACAGGAGGAGCAGAGAGAGACGGAGACACAGAATCCAAAGCAGGCTCCAGGCTCTGAGCTGTCAGCACAGCGGGTACGCAGGGCTCAAACTCACAGGCTGTGAGATCATGACCTGAGTTGAAGTCAACGCTTAAGACTGAGCCCCTCAAGACGCCCTCTCCTTTTTCTTTTTATGTTTATTTATTTTGAGAGGGGGAGGGGCAGAGAGAGAGAACCCCAAGCAGCGTCTGTGCTGTCAGTGCAGAGCCTGACGCGGGGCATAAAGTAGGGAACTGTGAGAAAACGGGGGATCTCACGAACCACGAAGTCATGACCTGAGCTGAAATCAAGAGTCAGATGCTTAACCAACTAAGCCACCCCGGCACCCCCACCATAGGCTTTTCCCCAGATGCTTAGGAGATGTGGTTTAATGGCACCAAGTTTCTCAGACGTTTATACTTGAACCCGACATCCCCGGTACTTGCTAGGCACCCACTCTGAGCGCTCAATGGTGAGCAGAGCCAGCTGTGGAGCTGTGCTGCCCCTGACCCCTCCAGAACTTTTATGTGGTGGGAGACACTTGCTGCTCAGATCATCACCTCCAGTGAAACCCTCTTCCTGAAGGCGAGTGACAGCAAAGGAAAAGGAGCCTCACTCTATAAGGGGTAGGATAGGGCCGTGGGCTGCTTAGGAGGCTTCTCTGAGGGACTGGCTTTTAAGCAGGTGATTAACTAGGGGCAGAGAACAAAGAAGAACCTTTCTTTTTTTTTTTTTTAAATTTTTTTAATGTTTTTTTTATTTATTTCTAGGAGAGAGAGAGAGAGAGAGACAGCGTGAGCAGGTGAGGGTCAGAGAGAGAGGGAGTCACAGACTGAAACAGGCTCCAGGCTCTGAGCTGGCAGTCAGCACAGAGCCCGACGCGGGCCTCGAACCCACGAACCGCGAAATCATGACCTAAGCGAAAGTCGGACGCTTAACCGACTAAGCCATCCAGGCGCCCCAAAGAAGAACCTTTCAAGCAGAAGGGATAGCGCCTGCAATGGCTCTGTGGCACAAGGGAGCGTGGAACATTCTGGAAACCGAAAAGAAGCCAATGCAGCTAGACAGAAGAGGAGAGCGGAGGATGGACAGGAAGCTGCAGGGGATGGGTGGGGGCAGGGCTGGGCCTGGGAGGTGTGGGAAAGAAGTCTGAGCTTTATCTCAAGAGCCAACCACCACCACCCGGTCTGTCTTTACAGGAAACCCTACCCACAAGAGGGAGAAGTCCTGCCTCAAAGGCCACAGCACGTGACCAGCTGCCAGGGTCCCGGTGTCCGGCTTTGAGACTAAGAGAAGACACTGAGAAAGAGAGCACAGGGGAGGCGGCTCACATCCCCACCTTCCTCCTGAAAATCAACACCCGAGCCTTCCTCACCCTTGGCTTCTATTTCAGAAACCGTCTTAATTTCCAAGCGCTCTGGCCCCGCTGTCCAGAGCATTCACACAACAGGTCTTGAACCCCTGGCCCGGCAGAGCTCTGCCGGATTAAGGCAAGATGAGAGACAGACACCCAGGGTGCCAGTTGATCCGCAGGCAAACCAGTGGGGAAATCGCTCTGTGTCACCTGTGAGATACAGATTTTTCCTGGAGCCGGAAAGACCTGTAATATGCAGTGAGCGGCTGCCTAACGTCCAAAGCTGTGCCATCTGTTTGGGGAAGAAAAGCGTGCAACCTGGAAATATTGAGGATCCTTAAAGACGTACCATGTCCCCATCGTGTGGTCCCCACCATGTGACATCACTTTTGTTTTATAAATATTTGAGAAATTTAGCACCTTTTGACCATGTCTCTTAGGCCCTTGGGAAAAGGAACCCACAGAAAACTAGCCTCAGTTTCCCCATCCTTGTAATGCGAGGGCACACCCACCCAGGCCTAGAGCCCAGGAGAGCTCCAACCAGAAACCGAGCCAAATGGGCCCTGCCCTTCGACACAGGAGGGAAGGGTGACTCATCTCAGCACAAAGAACTGTCTGCCGGCTGTTGGGGGAGGTTTCTGGTAACGAAGGGGACACCAGGGACTCTCAGGTATTGCCTGAGAGACTGGGGGACTCGGGGATTCGGCAAGAGGAGAGAGAGACCTGAGCTCCTGGATTTTTCTTTTTTACTTAAAATATTTTTAATGTTTATTATTTTTGAGAGAGACAGACAGACAGAGAGCAAGTTTGGGAGGGGCACAGAGAGAGAGGGAGACACAGAATCCTGTGCAGGATCCAGGCTCTGAGCTGTCAGCACAGAGCCCGATGCGGGGCTCGAACTCACAAACCACGAGATCATGACCTAAAGTTGGATGCTTAACCAACTGAGCCACCCAGGCGCCCCATTCTCCTGGACTTTTCACAGTGTTCGGCACAGAGGGGCTGCCTGGCTCTTCCCCAGACGGCATCCAATGTGTCAGAAGACTGGGGAGGGGAGGGCCAGTGCACGGCAGCCAGGGGCCCGAGGATGCTGGACTGGAGACCTGGGTTCTGATCCAGGGGCCATGTCCCTTTGTGTCTGTGCCCCAGGGTCCTTCTCTATGAAATGGAGGCAATACCTATGTCCCCATATGTCCCAACGGGGTGCCTCAACTACACAGAGACAGGATCCGTTACTGTACGTCTCCACAACCGTGCGTAAGTACCCCCACGAACAGGCATCTCGTTAACAGCATTAATAACACAATTCCTGTCATTGACGAGAACCTGCCTGCCACGTGTCTACACCGCCCTGAACACTTGGCCCACGTCATCCTTGCAACTGGATGGGGGAGCACATTAATGCTTTTACTTATGAAGAAACTGAGGCAGTGAGAGATTAGGTCCTAGGCCCAAACCATAACACTTATAAACAAGAGAGCTCAGATGCAACTCTGAATCAGTCTGTCCGGTCTGAGTTTTTCTGCTACTAAAAATGTAATGCGTCACCAACTCCTAGACCACTGGATTCTCCTCTTATCACCCTGGAAGCAGGTTTATTTTTATCTTCTTTTTACAGTGAGGAAACTGATACTCAGAGAGGTTGAGAAACCTGCTCATGGTCACACAGCTAGTAAGTAGTAAAGTCTAGGCTACACTGTCGGGATCTGGAAGAGCAAGGGAAAGGTGGATGGAAATGAGGTTTAAGCAGAAGGGAAAGCTAAGGGGAACATGACTTAGACCCCTTGTTTGCCACTAGAGGGCCTGTGGGGAATGGGGTTGGGGAGGGGGAGATTCCTAGACAGGTGGTATAGACAGACCTGTCTATAAGGTCAACCTAGTTCTATTAGTCCTGTGTAAACATTCGGCAGCCCGTTACATGAGGTCGTAAGACACCCCCCCGTCCCCCCCGCCCCAAAGCGGCTGAGACTGAGGGACCTGGGTCACGAACGCCACAGCGGGGACTCAGAATCAGACAGTGGCTAACTGCCTGGGCAATGAAGCCAAGTATGTGGATCTGATCCTGGCTCCACGATGCAGAAGCTGTGTGACCTCGGGCAAGTCACCTGATCTCTCGGATCTGCTGTTTGCTCATCTGTAAAGTAGAGACAATAATGCCTGGGTCACAGAGTTGTCACATGGATCTAGTGGCACAGGGAGGTAGAGAGGTACGTGACACAACACAGTGTCTGCCGGACAGTCAGCCCTCAGGACCCAGCCAGTCTCATTCCTACCATCAGGAAGTCAGCTTCTTAAGATTTAACCCTAATGCTGCTACTCCTTGGAGGCTCCTCCCAAAGTCTTTACTCACACGCCCTCAGGAACCCAAGTCCACTCTGTTCTAAGCTTGTCACAATGGCATTTCTGCAGCTCAGGGCTTGCCTCGCGGATGGGGCTCAGTTAGAGGCTGCCCTTGGTGTAAAGGGCCTGGGGCAGTTGTTTCTTTCACCTGTCACCACTGACCACTCTGGCTGGGCTGGGCACAAGCAGGCATCCAACCAGTTGCCAAGGAATGTATGAAATGAGGGAGTGCAGGGCCACAGGGGTGCATTTTCCCAGCTCCCCTGGGGTCCTGATCTCAGAACATCCCACCTAGATGCCTCCAGGCAAGAAGCCAACAGCCGCTCTCCATGGGGTGGCCAGATTTAACAGGAACACCCAGTGAATTCTTTTTTTTTTTTTAATTTTTTATTTCTAGGAGAGAGAGAGAGAGACAGCGTGAGCAGGGGAGGGTCAGAGAGAGAGGGAGTCACAGACTGAAACAGGCTCCAGGCTCCGAGCTGGCAGTCAGCACAGAGCCCGACGCGGGGCTCGAACCCACGAACCGTGAGATCACGACCTAAGCGAAAGTCGGACGCTCAACTGACTAAGCCACCCAGGCGCCCCCACCCAGTGAATTCTGAAGTTTGGTTAATAAACAGTGTGTTAGCATGTCCCAAACACTGCCTAACCCTTATGCTAAAAAATCACTCACTGTTGATCTGAAATTCAAATTCAACTGGATGTCCTGTATGTTACCTGGCAAACCTGGCCCCTCGGAGCCTCCGAGCACTTACTTAGCGGAGAGCTTTGGAAACGCGGGGTCTGGTTCCCAAGCCAAGGGGAAGGGCCAGCCATTTCGCTCCGGGGCACCAAATGCCAGGACATACCTGTGGGTGCATCTGGCCTGTCAGGCACCTAAAGTTGCTCAAAAACAAAGGAAGCCCCAAAGAGACGAAGCCTTCCCAGCGGATGAAAACCAGCAAGGCAGAAGTCAGCCCTAACCGGCAGCCAGGAAAAAGGACACGGCTTTGAAGTCTGACCCCAGTTGGCTCAAAGCCTGACTCTGCCACGGAATCCCTGTGGGACCTCAGCAGGTTACTTATCTGACCTGAGCTGAAGTTTGTCTGTAAAAAGGTGACAATATCGGCTTTCTCGGGAGGTGGCTGTGATCAAGTAAACAACCAGCCGCTCCAGGAACGAGGAGGGATCCCCGCCATCTCAGTTCCTGCAGCTCTGTCCCTCACCATTATTTCAGGCAAATCTCTCATCAGAGAGAAGGCAGCCGGCAGTGTGGCACTGAGTCACACTGCCGGGGACCCAGGGAATACGGACACCAAGGAACCGCAGCTGCCTTCCTGCAAGCCTCTTAGGCTGGAAGTTTCAGGGAGGGAATCGGGATTAAGGAGAATCAGCCTATGTGAAGTCCTAACACAGGCGTCGTCTAACAATCCACATACGGATTATGCGTTGTCGTGTTCTCTGTGTGTGAGAGTCCTTTAGTGCTGGACACCACGCGTGCTAAGTGCTTTGTCACTGGTGAGTAAAAGGCCATTCCTGGATACAGCCTCAAGGGGGAGGGCACCCAGACCCAAAATGGCAGGTTTGGCCCAAGGCTCGCACCTTCCTGCCCAAAGCGAAAGGTCCCAGCCCCTCTGTCGCAAACTCAGCGCCTGAAAGCAGAGCCCGCCGGCGGTGGGCGGGGAGAAAATGAAGAAGCCGCTGGCATCTTGAGGGGCTGGGGACACGCCACAGGAAATGAAGACACCCCAGAGAGGCTCTCCGCGTTCTCCTAAGTGTACACGGCTGGGGTTTTCTGCCTTTAAGTAACTTCTATTGGAGTTCCTGTTTCTTACGAAATAAGGACGCTGGACTGATCAACTTTGGAGAAAGCACTTGTCTGGGAATTTCGGATTTTCTTAAGCCGATTAAACCAACAAACGGGCAGGACGCTGCTGGGCGTGCAGGTGAAAGGTCTACCCCCCTCTCTGGGAAAGGGCAGGCGTCCAGCCGCCGACACCCCACCCCCACCCCCACCCCGCCCCGCGGGCTCTCGGCTCCCGCCCCCAGCCCGCCCCTCCCACTCTCTCCGGGGGGGATTCTGGGCTCGTAGGGCGAACAGATCCTCAGGCGCCGGGCGGGCGCTCGTGGCTGGAGGCGCCGACTCCGGAAAGGGGAACGGGCGAACCCTTCCCGCCCCTGCAGCCTCCAGCTCCCTCGCGGTCTTCCCTGCCGGCCCTTCCCTGGATCCCTTTCCGGTCTGCGCATCTCCTTCCCGGCTCGGGTCCACACACTCCTGCCTACTACCCCTCTTGCCCCAAGCTCTTGATCCCCGCACCTCTAAAGCCCTTCTAGAAAAAACCCAAACGCCCAACACACTCTGCAGGACCCGCCCCGCCCGCGCCCCGCCCTGCCCGTCGCCACCTTCAAGTTCACAGTTGGCAGCTCCATCCCGACCCAGGCGGAGGGCACCTGCGCCGCGGCCGCGGGGGCTCCTGGGCTCTGAACTCGGGACGCAAACTTGCCTTGCCCCGCCCCGCCCGCTCCGGCCACTCCACCTCCAGCTCTGCTCCGGGCCACGTGAGGCGGGTCACGTGATCCCCCGGTTGCTAGGAGACGGCGTCCGGCGGCTCCAGCCCTCCGGATTTCCAGCTCCGGCCGCCTCCGAGGCAGTTCCCGCAGGCGGTTGGACAGTGCTGGGATTTGGCTCCCGGAGGGCGGAATATCTCGCCTGGTTAGTATCCTAACAGGTGGATCGAGGGGACCATCTGCAGCCGAAGAATTTGGGGGGACGTCCAGGTGCCAACAGCTGGTGTCTCTTCCCTGCCCGCACCTTCTCACCTCCCTGCTTTCCAGCGTCAAAGTGGAGACATTGACAATACCTACCTCACAGGATCCTTGTGAGGTTAAATGAACTCATTCCCATGTTGATAATGAAAAAATTATTCTGACACTTGCTGGAGTGCAAGGAAGACTCTTGCCATAGGGGTATCGCAAGGGGAAGCATCGGGAAGCTCACCTCCCAGGACAGCAAGGCCCGGCGCAGAGGGAGGGGTCGGTGGATGGAAAATGCCAAGGAGAGACACCAAGGGTAGGGAGATTCTTGCTAAACTGACCCAACGGGATTCTTGCTAAAGGCAGGCCAGGACATCAAAGGTGGGGGACAGGGAACTTGATCAGATATGAGGGGGATCAGATATCAAGGGTGGGGAGAGTCTCACTAAATCGACTTCGCAGAATTCTTACTAAACGGGGCTCTGCACTCCCGGCAAGGACAGGCTGGATACAGAAGGCCAGGCCTAGTCTAGAAGAAAGCTCAGAGGAACCTAGCGAAGCTCTGATCCAGGATAGTGCCTTTGTCAAGGTAAAGTCCCCAGCGCAGTGCCTACCACTTAGTAAGTGAGCAATACATATGAGCTGTTGTTATTACTGCTGCAGGTCATTATCACTATACTGGTTGGGGCCTTCTTGAATCAGTATACCAAAACCTTTAGGAAAGTCCAGCTGGAAAACCAGCAGAAAATCTACAAGGCACATCTGTCTCCAGAAGGAAGAAGACTGGAGAAGAAAAAGGTTTTATCTAAACACTGTCTGCCCCCCAACTGTAAATGGAAAGTATTGAGGAAAGGGCCGTCTTACCTGGCACCCCTCTTAGACTGTCCCACCCCAGACAGGGACATTATCCCTCTCCCCACCCCTCACCCATAACCAGAGAAAGTGTTCATTTGGAGAGCACCAGCTTCCATTAGAGTCACCTGGGGTAAGGGTTCCCTTGGGGTGCCTCCGAGTGCTTGTTCTTGTGTTTAGGAGGGAGAAACCTCGTGGGGGGCCGCAAAACCACCTGGGATTAGCGGTGGGGGGCGGGGAGTGGGAGGGTCCTGAGAGCTCATTGAGACACATCCTCTGGGGGGCACCTGGGTGGCTCAGTCTTTAAGTGTCAGACTCTTGTTTTCGGCTCAGGTCATAATCTCAGGTTGGTGGGATCAAGCCCCAGGTGGGACTCCGCACTGCTTAGGATTCTCTCTCCCTCTCTTCCCCCCTCCCCTGCTAACGGGAGTGCACGCACATGCGCGCTCTCTGCAAACAAACAAAAAAAGACACACTCTCTCTGGACCTACAGGGAGACTTCTGCAAGGCTTCAGGGCCCACTGGCCTAATTTCATGCCCTGTTTGGAGACACAGTCTTCCAGCCCAGGGGGCAGAGACGCACAAACCTGCCACCGTGACTGAGAGCTGGTAAATGGCTAAGCTTAGTTTGATTTTTCAGGACTTAGCACACAACAGAACAGGTGTTTGAATCCAGGCTTTGGCACTTACTGTTTGAACTTGGGCAAGTTGCTTTGCCTCTCTGTGCTTTAGGTTTTTTTCATGTGTAAGAGGTAGATAATAATGGTAACTTCCTCAAAGGACTGTTAGTAATTAATACAAAAAAGCATTTAGAATAGTGCCTGGCAGATGGTAAGCGCTAAATCAGGAGTGGCCGCTATTGTCATTAAGTATTAGTTATTGTTAATTATTGTGATCGGATACCCAGAAGAGAGTAATTCCTCAATAAATGGTAATAACACTATATTATTATTTATTAATTTTTTTCCTAAGAAAAAGCCCCCATCCACCTCAGATCCTAGAGATGTTTCATCCAAGCCTGTAGGGGTGTTATGAGACTGAAATCACATTAGAAGGAAAGAATAAAAAACAAACAACTCCTAGGATTAAGGCTAACATTTATTAAGTCCTTATTTTGTGGCAGACCATGTAAAAAGCGCTCACACTGACCCCATGGTATAGGTGCTGTCCTCAGCTTTCTTTACAGTAAGATGATTGAGGTTAAGAGAAGTTAGAAAGATAATCCAAATCACTGGTGGGCATGACACTGGCCTGGGGACTGAGGAGGTCTGGCTCTGGGACCCTGATGTTCAGCCCCTTGTTTCCCCTGCCTCCATGGGGGAGGGGGGAGGGGGGAGGGGAATACAGCCCAGGCTGGGCTGCAAAGGGTGGAGGGAAGCAAGCAGGGGAAGACAGACTGCGGATGAAGCACAAGGCTGGGTCTGTGGAATGTCCTTGTGGCCCACACAGTGACACTGCATTCTTCCCCACCAGCTGGGACGTGGGGGAGGGGGCAGGAGACCCAGCTGGCCGGGGTTGGGGGGGTAGCTCACAGGAACAAAGGAAAGTGACTATTCTCAAAGGAGTCAGAGTTTCTGCCACGACCCAGTCCCGACTCTGGAAGGACAAATGCCCCCCCCGCCCCCCCCCCACAAATCGTATCCCACAAGGCTTTGGGGTCATCGCTTTAGTGAGCACACTTTTGGAATTCAAGTTTAAATTTGTCATGTGCCTCACCAGTCCCGTGTGCCTTAGCCAAGTTTTATCTTTGTCTTGTCAGTACTTTCAGCACAGTGAGAGACTTGCGAAACACAGATTCATTCATTCAGTCAGGAGAGTTATTGAACACCTATTTGGGTAAACATCTAGGACCAGAATGACTGGATCGCATGACGGTTATATTTACCTTTTTAAGAAATTGCCAGGCTGTTTTCCAAGGTGATTGCGGTATCCTATCTTTTCTTCTTCATAGCACTTATCAGTATCTGAAGGTATTGCCCTATCAGTGTACTTGTTTACTGCTTATTACCTGCCTCCCCTCCCCCCCCAACTAGACTGTAAGCCCTAGGAGGGTGTGGCATCCTCAGTGCCTAGCCCCTTGCCTGGTGCACAGTAGGCATTCAGGGAATGGACTGACAAACACCAGCTGAACAAATACGTGTGCACCACCTCCCATCAGACATCTGGTAGACCTGCCGCCCAACTCCCCACTTGTCCTCAGGGTGCAACTCATGGTCAGGCTCTACCCAGGAAGCCACGCGGTCAATGGCACTGGTTATGGGTGATGCAAATGACAGATAAAACAACTAAGGCAGGGGGCGCCTGGGTGGCTCAGTTGGTTGGGCGGCCGACTTTGGCTCAGGTCATGATCTCGCGGTTTGTGGGTTTGAGCCCCACGTCGGGCTCTGTGCTGACAGCTGGCTCGGAGCCTGGAGCCTGTTTCGGATTCTGTGTCTCCCTCTCTGTCTCTCTGACCCTCCCCTGCTCATGCTGTCTCTCTCTCTGTCTCTCAGAAATAAATAAAACATTAAAAAACAAACAAACAAACAAACAACTAAGCCAGGGAAGCAACTGGGACTCCATTTTGGAAAGGCTCACATCTTTAATCCTCATGGGATAGGGTAGAAACTTCTTGGTTAATGGAAGCATTGTTACAGTTTGGATGACTTCACCCAAGTCACAGTTAGCAAAACTTACATGGGAGCCATATAAAAAGAGCATGCGTACCCCCTCGAAGTCTGTCTGTGGGGTCCAAGGATCTGGTCTCAGGTACAAGCCCTTTCCATGATTCTGGAGACGAAGGTGTGCATGTGTACCTGCAGACTCCTAGAAGAATGAGGAACTGATGAAGTGGATAAACCTGAAATAGTGAATAATAATGACTCAGTTTTAATTTTCTTATTAAAACTTTTCTCGAATGTTTATTTTTTTAATTTTTTAATTTTTTAATGTTTATTTATTATTGAAAGACAGAGCATGAGCACGGAAAGGGCAGAGAGAGAGGAAGACACAGAATCCGAAGCAGGGTCCAGGCTCCAAGCTGTCAGCACAGAGCCCGACGCAGAGCTCGAACCCACAAACTATGAGATGATGACCTGAGCTGAATTTTGATGCTTAACCTGACAATTAACTAACTGAGCCAAGACCGGTTTTTCAATAGGCTTTCCTCAAATTCACTTGGGACGGGGAAAAATGAAGTCTCTGGAGAATGTTTTGAGGGGAGATGCTGTTTAATCAGAGGCATTGGAACGTGGGTATCCCGGGAGGTCACCCTCCTTGGGCGCTGTCCAGGTGGCGGAGGGGACCATAGGGGCTCAGCCCTGTGAGATGTAGCCCTTTTCCACGATGTTAAAAGATGAAGCAGAGTCTAGAGTCTCCACTTGTATATTCTGATGGCTTCTCAGAGCCCTGGACACAATGATTGAGGGGACAGACCATGCAGGAAACATCTAAAAAGAAAAAAAGAAATGGGGTACCTGGCTGGCTCAGTGGGTTAAGCCTCGGAGTTCGACTCAGGTCATGATCTCACGGTTTGTGAGTTCGAGCCCCACATCAGGCTCTCCTCTCAGCACAGAGGCTGCCTCAGATCCTCTGTCTCCCTCTCTCTCTGCCACTCCCTTGCTCGTGCTCTCTCTCTCAAAAATAAATAAACATTAAAAAAAAATAGCAAGGCTCTCTCTGCTGTTTTTCTGCTATGTGCCCCTCACTCCTGTTCTACACTTTGCCTCTGAATAAGCCAAAGAAGCGACGTTCCCACTTCTAGGGGGAAACAGACAAGTTAATCATTCTCTGAGTTTTGTCCTGGGCCTCGAATGCCTGAGAACACAGAGGTGCCAGATCCCAAACACCTTCCAGGGCATTTACTCTGAACAAACCTCGGCTGATGCTGGCATCACTCTGCCCTCCCTTCAGTGATTTCTAAAATAGCACCTGCTATTCACCCGTCACTCAACTCTTCTTTGATCGGGCCCCACCCTAGATTCCCAAAGGAGCACGTACTCCAGACTCTTTTCCAGTATAAACCCCCAGTCCCAGAGCAACAATGAGACTCACTCTCATTCGTTTCTGCGTCTCCCAGACATCCCCATCTGTTATATTCTGTCACTCATACTATTCATTAAACTCTGCTTTCACTCTCTCTGGCACGCGTTTGATTTCTAGCCTGCATGGGAGCCAAGGACACTCTTGGCTGGGTCTGAACCCCCCCCACTCCTCCCCACCCCCACTCTGGGTTCTCAGTCCAGGCCTATGTACATCAGAGCCACAGCCATATCTTTCCCATGGTCCCTTGCACCTTTGGGTAAAGGTGGGTGTTTTTGGATCCCTGCCTTGCCGCCTCCTGGCACGGCTCCTGGAACTTCATAAATGCTCAGCAGGCAAATAGCTGCTCTCCTGCTATGAAGAAAACCACAAGTATCTTTTGGCGTCTCCCAGCACGTCGGGGCCTACGATAAATGCCTGTTGAATAGATGCACCAGGGGAGACACCCATCCTCTCTTTCCTATGGACAAAGACCTCTGCATTTCAGCCTGCTGCCCATCTTCCCAACTTCCACCCCCCCACCCCCACCCAGCGCTGCCACTTTGCATGTACACCACTTCATCTCAGTTACTGGATCCCTCCGATTTTTTTTCTGCATCCAGACAATGGGGACAGCGATGATCAGCCCCGGCGCTGCGTGAGGCCCAAAGGAGCCTCCAAACATGAAAAGGTTTTGAGACGATTTCCGACTGTCCTTCAGTTCTGAACCTCCTGGAGGCCGTTGTGATGGGGCCCAGCCACTTCCTTTCCCAAGGGGGTAAATCCAACTGGAAGAAAGAGAGCCGAGAACATAACCAGAAACACCGTCTGAAAGTCCCACGCGCCTGTCACAACGCAGAGCCCTCTGCAAGAAGCGCATTAGAGAGGGCGTAGAGCAGAGTCGTGGTCCCTGGTGGCACAGAGACTGCTTCTGGGATTCGATCCGGAGACCTGTCCTCCGGGGCTTGTGTCACATGTAACGTGCCGGCTCTGTGTTTCCTGGCCTGAGGTCTGGTTGGGTAGTGCTGGCCTGTGGATCTATGGCTGCGCCCTCCCTTCTCTTTCTGGGGGGCCAGCTGCCACTCACAGACAGCAGGAAACGGGGCAGGAGCTGATGGAACCGAATGGAACCCTGTAGGACTGGGGTGGGCGTGGCTCCCAGGCTTCATTCCCTGTTGTCCGTCAGCCCAGCCCTTGGTCGATGCCGCGATGCCGAAACTATCAAATGCCTTTATGACTCACCGGTAAAAATCACTGTGTCCACAGCACCTTTTAGTCAGAGACAGGAAAGGGACCTGGCCCTGGGGGAAGCATGTATCCAGAGGGAGCCAGGTTGGATGACTCTGCTACTTCCCTTTTCCTGGGTTTGCTGGAGGTGCCTGGACCTTGCTGGGAGGCGGGAGAGGCCTCCTCTCTAGAGGACACATTTGTTCTTTGTGATTAGTCAAAACAAAGGGGGACGGATTCCAGATTATTTGTCCCATTGGCACAGAATTCGAACTTACGGCAGCATCCATGGCTGACTTCTGTAGGCCCCAGTCAGGCTCCTTGAAGTCTCCCCCTGGGGCCTTAAAATGAAGCCCATGATTCCTAACGTCCCTATGGCTTTGCCACACCATCGGGAGCCTGTGAAAATTACTTCGGGTAAGCCCCATCCTGGTAAGGCCCCGCGAGACACAGAGTGATATTACCCCTCCCCTCCAGACACCCGTGGGCTCAAGTCAGGCATTGGAGAACACAGCAGAACGCTCCGTGGAACGCTTGGTGAGCATGGGAAAGGCAGAAAAGGAAATTGCGTCCTGTTCCAGGAAACAGAGGTTGTGTTAAACAGCCAGAGGGAAGGTGCGCTTAAGAGGCTGTTGCAAGACAGAGCCGGTGCACCCCTTCCCGCGGCTCTGTCGGTCCTTGGCATTTTCTTTATTCGCCTCTTCCCGACTCAGGCAACCCTCTTTATGCCATCGTGGTTGCGCGTGCCCAGGCTCTCACCATGCACCTCCTGCCTGTCCTGGGCCTGTCCTCAGTTCAGGCTGCCGCCTCTTTCCCCGCCCGGCCCCCTCCCATCTCTCTGCGTGCTCGGGGTGGAATTTCAAGGAAGGCATTTGAGGGCTCTGGCTGCACCTTGCTGATTGCTCAGATACACAAACAAGGCCAGTTATGGGCCCTGGGCCCCGCGGCCCCCAAGATGCCTATCTGCCGTGGGGGTTTGTCCTGGTGTCTGCTTTCACCCCCTTCTGCTGGGCCAGCTCAGAGCCAAATGCCTTTTGGGGCCAGGTCTGCGGCAGGCTCTCTGAGGTCTCTCCTTCCTTGCTGGAGGGCAAAGGGAGCCTGTGACCGTTCCGGGAATAGAGACAAGAAAAGGGAAGCAGGTACTGGGGTCAGGCAGGGTTCCTCCATGGGCTCCACCAGTTGGGAAGCCCCTGAGAGGGAATCTCAACCCCTGCCCCCACGTCAAGGGGCCTTCTAGAAGGCAGCACTTGGTTCTAGCAGCCCAGTGCTGGGCCTGCCCGGCAGAACTCCTGTCCCCCGCTGGCCCCGCAAGCAGCCTTGGTGACCCCGGATGCACTGTGCAGCTCTGGGGTCTGGGTGGGGGCGGGTGGGAGTGACCAACTCCTCGGAGGTGCCTGGCAAACTTGTGGCATTTGAGAGGCAATGTGAAATCAGTGGACACAATCAGGTTTTGGAGTCAGAAAGACTTGGGGGGGTGTCCCTGATACATCTACTAAGTACCTGCACTACTTTGGAGAAGTGGCCTTTATTTCTCCACGTTGAGTTCGCCTGCTCTGAAAAAGGGGCTCTCGTACTACCTAGCTACACAAGAGGGGGGCGCTTCCAGCCGGGAGCACCAATCCACAGATGGAGGCCACAGTTGTTTGGATGGATTGTTCCTTCTCTACATCTCTTCTGCTTTGTGCCAGGCACTGCCACAAGTCAGGGCTGGGGCATGGAGAGACAGTTCAGGACCACAATGCCCGGAGCTGACCAGCCTGCCCTGCTAAACCGGCCCATCACCAGTAGGGAAGGGGCCCGGGTGTCCCACCAGAGTCGCCCAGGCACAGATATATGAGTTTCAGGATACACCATCCTGAAGGGGGAGGATGGAGAGAAACGAGCTTCTCTGTTTAGCCATTTGCCTACCCGAGTGTCCATCACGCGTCCTTCCCCCACCCCCACCCGCCAGGATTTCATGAGACTAGGACATGTGTTTCCGCTTACATGACAGATGGTGGTCACCGCTGCCACCTGACACTCAAGCTGGCAAAGAAGTGGGGGAGCCCAGAACTTCGGGACACACCAAAGACAGCTCTGCCATGGCTCCCGGGTGCTGTGATCCAAAGCTGGAGAGCTGAGCTTCCGAAAGCTCCTCCATGACAATCGTTCCTACATCAACCTGGCCAGTGGTCGTAGGCAAGGACCTCACCACACACTAATCTAGGTGCTGCCGTGAAGGCATTTTGCAGATTTGGTCAACATCTACAAGCAACTGACTTCAAGGAAAGGAGGGTACCTTCAATAATGTGGGTGGGCCTCACCCAATCAGTTGAAGACCTTAAGAGCAAAGACTGAGGTCTCAGAGAAGAAGAAATGTGGTCTCAAGACCATCATATCAACTCCTGCCTGAGTTTCTGGCCGGTTGGCCTGCCCTACGGATTTCAGACTTGCTGGCCCCTGTAATAGTATAAGCCAGTTCCTTAAAATAAATCTGTATAAATAGATACATAGAGAAAAGAGGTATATAAATACACAAAGATGTATAAATACAAATATGCTATTGGCTCTGTTTCCCCGGAGAACCTGGCTAATATACCCCCAGTCCAGCTACCTGCTCCCCTGAGGGCAGCACCCAGGCTGCCAACAGAGAGCTGAAATCCCTGTGACCTTGAGTTCGACTGACCTTGACTCCTTATTTCAGTACCGCTCGGATCCTTGGTAGAAGAAATGGATTTGAATAGACATCCCAGGGCAGAAGGGGTTTTTAAAAGCCTAGGGTACCTTTCTGCAACCACAGACCCAGGGGTTAGCAGTATAGGTTAAGGGGTTGGCAATCTATAGATCATGGGCAGATGCAGCCTCCTGCCCTTCTGTATGAATAAAGTTTTATTGGAACACAGCCATGCTCATGCATTTGTGTCTATCCATTTGCAGTATTGTCTGTGACCGCCTTGCACTACGATGGCAGAGCTGAGCAGCTGGGCCAGCAAAGGGAAGGACTTTTGAAGCTCAGATGAAAGGGAACTTTAGGGGCTTGATTCCCTAGAACAATCCCCAGAGAGAGGATCACCAGCTACTTGGGGCCTGAATGGGGAGTAGAGTGAGTTCTTGGGAAGGTTTGATGAAGCAATTCTCAAACCTAGGGCAGGGGGCTTATCAAATATGCAGATTCCCAAGGTCCACCCTTAGAGAGTCTAAGTCACAGCCCCAAGTGGGGCTCAG